GACGCATTCCTGCAAACCAATAATGCTTCTGCATTCTCTTCAACGTGTTCTCAATTCCCGAGTGACCCGCCTGATCATGGCATAGTCTGCAAACTTGCCATCTTACGTTTCTAGGCACCACCCATGCTGTTTTGCCATTCTGTAATTTTCTGTACACTCGTTCATTCTTCACAGCATACTCAGCGCCATATCTTTTCGCCTCACTATTTCTCTCTTCATTACCTAGTATGGTTCGAATTCGAACAATCTGTTCGTCCTGCATCTGTGCAGCCAATATCCAGTCTCCTTCTGTTAAATTAGCCTGATTAATCTCCAGTATCTCTAAAGGCTGCCTACTCAGTGTATCAACATGTGTCATTTTCACCCCAGGCCTGTATGATATTTCGAAATTATATTCTTGTACTTCGAGCCACCATCTTGCCACTCGCGGTATCAAATCCTTCTTCGCAAACGCTGTTCGCAAAGAACTACAATCTGTTACAACTCGAAATTTTGTTCCAAGCAGGTAAACTCGAAAATGCCGCAAAGCACACACCACGGCCAAAGTTTCTAGTTCATATGAATGGTAACATTTTTGTTCAGGTGTCGTTTGTTTGCTGTAGTAAGCCACTACTCGAAACATTTCATCGTGCCGTTGCAGTAATATTGCACCAAACCCCAACGAACTTGCATCGGTATGTAGCTCTGTCTCTAAATCGGGATTGTAAATAGCCAAAACCGGTCTTTCAGTAAGAACCTTCTTGACAGTCTCAAATGCCTCTTGCTGCTCCGATTTCCAACTCCAAGGTACGTCTTTTCGTAATAGTCGCGTTAGCGGTTCCACAATCCTGGCATAATTTTCCACAAGCATATAATTCGTTGCTGTCCTTAAAATTTGAGGCTCTGGCGGCTCGAGCGATGTTTGCATCAGGAATTCCACCGATCACCGCGTCAACGAGATACGATTCGGGTATCACGACATTTAAGAGACGCAATTTTGCAAGTTTTGCGAAACAGTACTCACTCAGCTCCTGTCCAGGGGCGGCTTCATAGTTTGCAGCATCACGCAGCAACTTCGCAAACGGATGGGGTTTTTTTAAATTGTTTCATCAATACTCGCCTCAGATCTGGCCAGTTCACATTCAACTGCTGTTGACTATCGTACCACTGCCTTGCCATTCCCCGAAATCTATTTGCGACCACTCCGGTTACTGACTTGTTACTCCATTTGTAAGTCTTCGCTATTTCATCCACTCGTGACACCCAGGCTTCAATCGTTAAGTCGTCCTTTCTGGGGTCGAAAATAGGTACTAACGCCTCATCACTAGGTCCAGGTACACTGAACTTCGATGCACCCTGTTCAATTGTCGCTAAACGCCGCTTTAGTTTTTTTAACTCGCGTTTCGCGTCACCCGACGAACTCGACGACGAAGTACTCGAAGACGAGGAACTCGAAGACGACTCATGCCGACGTTTTTTATGGGAACTCATATTGATTGGTAATTAGTCAAAGTGTCAACAATTCACCGCGATTTATTATTGCACAACTTGCACAACGGGTCAAAACTGCGCAAAACTTTCACAACCGTACAAAAGTAGAAAACTGCTCAGGTACCTATCACACAGGTGAGCACCGGGTCAATCCCACTTCTGAATTTTGTAAGAAAACTCCAAAATAATAGACAAAATATAAAGGATATTTATTGACCACCGTCAATAACGGACGATCGGTATCCACTGACTTCTCACTCCTGCTCTGCTTCCCGAGAGCAAAACCCTGACTCATACAATTCTATATATGGTTATATGATTCCTATTCGCAATTCCAACATAATAAACACGAGACATAATAAAAGTTCAGCATTAACACTCGACCTCTCGATTTTCGTACATGTGGTAACCCTAGTAGTGGTAAGTATTTTAAAACAATTAGTTCAGTATTTTAGAACAGATAAAAAAACTATTCCATTTAAACTTTTTCTTACCTTGTGATAGGTCATTTTCTAGTTCTTTTGTTAACAACTCTTGTAGATATGAATCCTAAATATAAACAGGTGAAAATGGTGATGCTTACCGATAAATATATCGATTAAATCTGAGAACCTCCAGTCTGTTAACAAAGTTTTGTTATTCATATTACACCAATTAGCTTACTTAATTGAATCAGGGATGTTATGTCACACACTGCAACAAACACTTTCCGAAGTCGGTCTGATTTTTTTGCGTCTTGGCGCCTTTAACAGGTTCGCACTAGTTGGTACGAATGGATTGTTATGTCTTCTCGAACTCCAATAAAAGCGCAGTAATGGATTTACTACACATTCAACAAAATGTGCAACCAGTCTCTACAATTATATAACGTCACATGGGTGACTATATTGCTAAAACTTTTTGCACAGTTGTTCAAGTCATACAAATTTTGTTTAAATGTGTTAAAAGCTCCACTTCAAACTCATTTAATATCTAATGGTATATTAAATTCACTTTTTTGTCTTAACCGGTTATAGTTGTGTGGAAGTTACATCAATCACAAACGCGTTCAATCCTTTTCAACATATGTTTTACAATATTTTAAACCAAATGTTTTATTTTCTTTCACAATTGATATTCCAACAATATTGTGTGATATTTTAGAAGTCCAGTTCTTTCTGTGTTAATTCATCCATTTAAAATTTCCAAAAATATGAAAAGTCTCCATCCAAGCTGTTAAATAAACCAGACGGCCGCTACACATTTGTTCAATGCATTACTAAATATAAGATCATTATCCGTATCATTGTCGTTAATATTAATTGTTTGACTTGCTGCCCCAGGACCTCGAATCACCTTAGCAGTCACATGATCAGCATCATCTCTCAAGTTGGCGTTTCCAGTTTATCCATCATATACTAAATTGAATTTCGCTTTACTCAATAACACCAATTGCTCGTCTGTTAGGATGCACATTCGTTTTGGTAAATTAACTTTGCATTCGTCTAATGTCAACAACACTGTTCGTCCGAATCTGTTAACAATTGAATAGATTAAATTAATTGTTATATAGTTTCAGTGAAGTAAATACTTAACTTAGTGTTTTCTACCACAGCCTGATCCTAGACCCCACCATACTGGTTAAGGGTTAATATCGTTTAATATAATTTTTGATGATCACTGCTACTACTTACTTTCTTTACTCCAAAATGATACGTTTCGTACCACGATCAGAATTTGAAAACGAAGACATAATTTTTCACTATTATCAACAGTCTTGCTATGTTAAGACGATATGATGCACATGAATCTCAGTGCTGAACTGACTTTACGAAATTAAATCCTCGTTTTATAGTGCATAATACACATTAATATTCATGACATTAATTAAAATGAGTACATAAGGGTTTGAGGTAAAATATTGTCAGACGACCGGTATCGCGTTTTCTTGTTAAGATGAAGCGATAAAAAACAATTAACATAATACACGCATACGCTTTACACACCTATTTTGGACTGATTAAAGTTTCTACTTTTTTTTCTTAACTACATTCTTTGACTAAACACGAGATCGTCGTCCGTATCGTCATCATTTAGATCGATTGTTTGACCTGCATGTGCCTGCCTCAGCAGTCGTTTGATCAGAATTCTTTTTTTCAAAGTGTATTGAGTTCGCGTTGCCAGATTTGCCGTCGTAGATTAAGTTGAATTTTGCTTTACTTAACAATTCCACTTGATCATCTGATAGCATACACATCCGCTTCGGTAAATTTATTTTACAATCGTCTAATGTTAACAACACAGCTCGTCCAAATCTGTTGGCAATTAAGTGGATATAAATTAATTCTTAATAGTTTCAGTGGTAAATACTTCTTAGTGTTTTCTACATCGGCCTGATAAATAGGTTGTTTTTTCCAACTGTTAATTCCGGTAGTACCTTGAATTCAGCAAACTTGACAACAGTATTAACTTAATTTAATAACTTTATACGCTACTATAGATGTGGGTTTCTCTCTAGTCTCGTTCCGTTTTATTATTTTCGGTCATTTCATCTGTATGTTTTGTAATAAGTATTAGAAGATCCCGCTTATCCTTCCATTTCAGGACTATCATACCCTTATTTTTTCGTGCAATAACCTCTCCTTTTTTCAATTTAGCAGAAACTACTTCCTGAAGTAGGCCCCTTCTATTCTTTCTTACTGTTCCTACTAAATGAGTTTTTCTATTTTGAAGCTTTTCAGCAAGTTCTACGCTGGTGTACCAGTTGTCAGTGTAAAGTGTAACACCTTTATCTAGCGATTCTTCCATTAACTTAAAAGTGACTCTTTTGTCTTATCGGCATCACAGTAAATTTTGGTATGATAAGTATAGCCTCCTGGAAGGCATAATTTAAACAGTTTAATACCGAATTTATGTCTCTTCCTCTTGATGTACTGGCGAAATTTCAAACGTCCCCGAAAGGGGATCATTGTTTCATCAATACACTGGTCTTCATCAGGCAGAATTACTCATTTAAATTTCTGATCGAGCAGATTAACTAATGATTGTAATTTATGGAGTCCATCTCCAAAATTGTCTAAATATAGGGGAGAATCTCATTTGGAAGAGTGACAACAGGGTTACTGTTAATAAGGTCAACGTTATTCTTTGTGATTAACCCTTTGAGTCACATATAGAGAAAAAATATTTCAAAAATTATAAAACTGTGTTTGGAGACTTATAGTATTTTAATAAATTTTTTGAGCGTGATAATATAAGTTTACATTTTCAAATTTGGAAATTAAGGCATGTCCATTCCAATGGACACTGTGACTCTAAGAAGTAGCTACATAAACTATTTTAAATTTTAAAAAAATATGAAGAAAAGCAAACAAAAATTTATATTTTATGAAAATTCAAAAAACAATTTCTTTCCTTTTGTAAACATAAATGAACATCACATTTGGTGCAAATTGTGTGTGATTTGCCTCTGCATTTTTCCATTTTGCACCTAGTGGCTTCTTTTTTATTATCAACCAATGGATAATGCTCGTAATCATCAAATCGTGCTTCTATGTGTGGCCTCGTTTCCGTTTTTCGTTTTCTTGGTGGTGTTCTTTGCTCTGTTTCAGCACTTGGGCGTCCTCTTTTCGGTTGTTAGTAGATAGTGCCTAGGATTAGTGGGGTAATAAATCATGTTGACAGGTGACGTTATCTTGACAGCTGTCAATCAAGATAACGATCTTAATGGATTTTTGACGTGTGCTGTCAATCAAGATACCGATCTTAATGGCTTTTGATTACTCATAATTTAATTTTTAATCGCGAACGTAATTAAATTAATTATATCATTATTAAATTTAATTAGATCACTATTAATTTGATAGCGGATTTAAATAATTTAAATTTAAATATATATTTTTAATTGTGTATTGCGGGTTGCATGCATATGTACATAAATACGATAATGTTTTAAGATTACGCAATTGAATCAATGATTAAAATACTAATTACACCATCATTAATTCATTCTGAATATAATACGATTTGATGTGGGTTAATATCTGAAGCGTTTTGATAATTCTTTGATCGATTGCATTATTAACTAAAAATTAGATCGTAATGACCATTAGCCCGTGCCAATAGCTCAATAATGATGACGCACTCTATGCAAGCGACTCATCATCTACAAGCACAGACTTGTTTCTGCATGTATTTTCATGTTATACCCATGCTCCGAAGTCATTAATCACTAGCCCCACGGCAACATCTCATTATGATGTTTGTCCATTAGCTTTTTGTTATTAAAGACATACCGACGACGCACTTTTTGCAGACGAGTCATCATCTACAAGCACAGACTTGTTTCTGCATGTATTTTCTTGTTATACTCCTTGGATTTTGATTACTCATAATTTACTTTTTAATCGCGAACGTAATTGAATTAATTATACCATTATTATTTAATTAGATCACTGTTAACTTGATATAGAATTTAAATAATTTAAATTTAAATAGATATTTTTATTACCGAACAGCCGGTTTACATAATAATAATATTAATAGTTCAAACAACCTTAAGCGAGCAAAAAATCATGCGAATTTTCAACGCTCGTTTAAACCAAAAGTGAATTTTATGTTATAAATATTTTCGGTAGATGGCGCATCGAAGAGGAATCTATTTTCTTGCGGTGATGTCTTAATTTTTGGTTATTTCTTCTACTTTATTATTAATAACGATCATTTTTATAAACTTACTTGGCTAATAGGTGGCATATTTCAGCAGGAATTTTTAAATTTGAACAATAGTCTTCTTTCTCATGAAGATTTGACTTACAAAAGTCGACATATCTATTTGGACTAATTTTTATTATACTGAATACCACTCATACACTTGTTAACTCTTATGGCAGAAGTGTGAATATTTGTTAATATTTAACCATTTAGTTTTAGTTTAGTTTTGTTAAAAACAAATTAGAAAAGAGCGATTTTTATGATAATAATCTGTTTATCTACATATCGAGAGCGCAATAAAAATCACGATCAAAAATAACCATGGATTTTTGAAGATTTGTCTTGGATAGAATTTTGTCTTTTCAGATTAATTTTTTATTTCAATTGAATAGTTTGAGCCGAAAGTACAACGATAAAAGACAAACTTTGAAAAATCCATGATTGGCTTTGATCGTGTTTTTATTCTTCTCTCGGGGTAATTATACACAAATAAATATCATGAGAGATGTAAGCCCTAGTTTCCATTGAACGGTCGCAGTGCACAGTGACACCTGTCGATAATAATTATGTAAATCACGACATTCATAAATCGGACATCGCTGTTGAGTTTTGATTTTTTTTCTTTTTTCTTACACAATTTGAAGGGGAATTAAGACTAATTGATGTAAACACATCAACTAATTCCATGGTCTTACTGCTGTCTGTCGCTACCCAAGAATAAATCATTTTTCGACGAATTTGGATTTGTAGAATTTTGTAAATCAACCCCTTACATATGTAGACAACTCATATTCGAAACTACACTTTATCAAGTGCTGCTATATACTCACTATACTAAACATCCATTGACATTGTCAGTTTTACTAACGTCTTAAAATGTCTTTCAGTTGAAGTATTGTTTAACTGATTAAAACTCATTGTATTTTATTCAGCACTTTATTTCACGAATCAATTATAAACAACATTTCTAACACGATTTTGTACCCACGTATATATAGAGCCGACAGACCGCTCCTTTTGAAATATATGCGAATATTTTCTTTGGATCACCCGACAAAGCGAAAGTTTCGGCAGTTTTTTTTCTTGTAAATTGTATTTAAATTCTGTGTGCATTACGTCTAATTCTGCTACTGTCCACTTTAATTTTCTTCCCCTTTTACATAATGGACTCCGATACAAACGCAATGAGGGATTTTTTAGGCGACCTTCAATTTCTTGAGTCGTAGGATTTCGGGACGACGGCGACGGACTTTGTAGTTTTGCAGGACTTTTTCGTTTCTTCTGAGGTGTATTAACAGGAGCGCTTCTTTTTTCAGTGCCTACATAAAAAATAAGTACATTTTCTTTCAGTTTACAAGTGTTAATTTAAGTTTAGTGTATATCAATTTAACAATAACTTAAAAACTACAATTTTAAAAAGTTGCTACTATAGTTCTTAACAACTTTACAGCATACAGCATGGTTTATATACATTGCCGAAATAAAGATTTTTGTTAAAAAATTGGTTTTACTTTAGTTTATTCCAAAAGACTTGGATTTAATTTGTAAAAAAAACAGTAATAATGTAAGTATGTGAAAAACAAAAAATGGGTCAAATTTTTAAAAGTTGCAGAAACACATTAAAGTTGCCACAGACTTAATTAATATTTAGCTATACCTAATTCATAACTATAAAACAGTTTAAAGTGAACCCAATTATTTAGAAGCAATTTTCGTTCATATCAGTTTTCTAAATCTCAAATTATAAGTAAAAAATATCATTCTAGGAAATTTCCTAAATGTATATCTTTCACTATTTATCTGATCGTACTTACTTGGTTCATCAGGATTCGTATCCTCAATGTCATAGTCTTCATCAGGAATAAACGGTTCTAAATCTTCTAATCTTTTTCCTCGATATTTCTCAATATCATCGTCTCCATCAATGACACTCAAAAACCGTGATAAAGTAAAAATGTTAACTGAAGCATCATTCAGTCTATAATTGGACAAATGTACATTTAAATCATGTCCCATGTAATCTGCGACGTGCTGCATTTCATTGTGGGATAAATCCAAGATCTGTGCTTGTGTAGCCACTTGTTTCCGTAAGTAAGTACCAGTGAATGACCTGGGTGCTTTAAGGTTAGCGTTATGAACAAATTTTCGAAGTGCCACTGACGCTGAGAGGTGACCATTATTATTATTGAATGCAAAGAGAAATACATTACTCTCTTGAATTTGTGCTTGTTCTCGAAATGATAAATAAAAATCGAGGGCCCTAAAACAGTTACTTTTAGTTGCGAAATATTTTAAAAAGTGGATAAGTATTCACAAAACCTCAAATTTACTACAGTCCTTAAACAAAATATATTGATATAGAATTTGAAATTTTGTGAAAACAGTATAGTTAAAGTGCTTACTCTATATGTTCTGATTTCAGTAGCAGGTTAAGAGGCCTGTGCCGTTTACCCAAGATGAACATAAATGAAAATTTCTCAGCTAATATACGTTGCAGGCGATTAAGATGTTTGTAATTTTCCTGTTGGAGTTGTTTTCTTGTTTTGTAGTCTTCTAAAAGCATACGAGAACTTTCTCCTGGTCGTCTACGATTATATATCATTATTTGGCATAGTATACATTCACCCAATGTCTTCCATGATCTAATGTCAAAATTTTCACTTTTAAGTTGTTCTGTACTTTGGAGCAAAATCTTTTTAAGGTATTCATTAAAGATTTTTACATCTTCCTGACTTGGTATTTCCTTTGCGGTTTTAACTTTCTTAATGTTCGCCGTTTTCAAAGCTGTTTTAGTAATTTCATTTTTAAATTCTTGTTTATGTAAGAATTCAAAATTTCTAAGCGTTACCATACGTGGATCTTCCTCAGCTACATTATTTTCAAGAAGCTGAATCTTTAAACGAGAGGCAATTGTCGTCAATAAAGGGCCAAACTGTAAAGCAAGAGATGGAGCGGTGATAACCTCTTCATCTCTAGAACCTGTAAGATTACGTATAGCCTGCATTATTAATTTGTATTTAGATGGCATAAAACATTCAGCGAACGAAGTGATTGATGGATCCAGCTGTTTAATAATCAACAACAATCTTGCACATCGTCTCATCTGTGACCTAGTATTATCCATAAAACGTTGTTCTGAATTTAGCTTGCATAAATGTATTCCAAGCAAAAGTATTGTCTGATCATTTTTTGCTACTACACCAATTTCGTCGTTTAGCATGTTGCTTACGAGTTTTATATGAAGTTTTTCTTCTAAACTTTTTGAAATTTGTCTCTGATCTAAAATTAAAGCATTTTGACGCCTACGTCTTCTGTCTGGGGCTCTTTTTGAACATTTTAATTCATGTTTAGCAAAATTTCGTTTTGCAAACAAGCCAGAACAAGTGGGGCAGTGAATACTTTCAGATAACTTTTGTTTTATTGGTTTTCTTACAGGGATTCTTTGATGTAAATTTACTTGCAAATTGTACTTTTGATCACCTTTCAACCGAAGTTGACGTAAAAGTTTGTTTTTCTCTTTTGTTGGTTTGAAGCACATGTTTTTTACTTCAGTTTCTTTTGCATGGACCTGCAAAACATAACATCAAGATAAGAAGTAAAATTTATGCTCATTACCTTTTGCAAATGGCGACCCATACAGGTTCTTAGTTTACCACAGTAGAAACAATAGTGCCCTTTCAATTTTGTAGAAGATTTCAGTTCAGAATCTATAGGCTGCATTATAAGAGACGTTATATTTTGATTTATATGATCCGCTTTTATTTCTGTACCTTCTAATACTACATTTGGTGGAATGCAACATAGTATGTGGCACATTAAACTTTTTTCTTGTCTATATAAGAAACCAATATTCTTTCCATGGGTTGATACTAAAAAACAGTGCACTGCAGAAAAATATCACTAGATTGTTAAACTTATTTACATTTACAATCGTGATTAATACTTTGGTCGAAAACGTGGCAACTCAGGTATCTTTCATCGGAATGAGACAAAGCAGCACTGAACATACCGACATGATACTGTCCCTCATGAAATGTTTCTATAGTTTCCAGAATAACTTTACCAGAGTTATAAATTTTTATCTTACTGCAAGCTTTTTTAATTCGGTTCATCTGTGGTCGTTCTCCAACAAATCCGCTGTCTGCAAAATTATATTAAATGATCTAAGAATCATACAAAATGATTAATTACCTAAACATGTTTTATCTTCTTTGGTAAATAATCTGCGCCTAACTGTTTGTTTGTTTACTCTGGTACAAAGAGGCTCAAACGATATTGGAGTTATTGTCCGTCCTGTACTAGGCGTAGATTCATCTAAAAATGTTGTTAATTAACGACAGTTACTTGATTTAACTTTCAATTAACTTACCTGGTATATATTCGTCATCTGTAAATTCTGGATCTGCATATGGATCATCTTTGTCGGAAGCTTCATCTGATGATAGACAGTACTTCACAGACTTCTTGCTTTTTATAACATCGGTTAAATGAACAGAACACTCTTTTGTACCATAATCTAAAATGCAATATTAGATTTAAAATAATATAATTGTTATTTTAAATCGCTCATCAGAATGTGGTTTTAAATTTGATACAGAAAATAATCAAATATTTTTATTATATGAATAATTCATGGTTTCAGTTTGGTCGAAAAAGGTCCCTCTAACTTTCATATTATTCAAAAATTTGGTCTAAAGTATTAGTCAGAACTTGTCCCTACAGTGTAACAAATACAGCTTTTTCGAAAAATTATAAAGTTTGAGTTGGCATTTTTTATGACAACCCATATAAGTTTACATAAAGATGTATGGACGCTTACAATACAAATAACGAAGTTATTGTATTGTATGTTTCAAGTGAGTTTTTCTATTACAAAATTTAGAGATGACGAAGATAAACAGATAAATTTTGAGTAACGATTTACCATACTTACGATTACCTTAAAATGTTTGCACGATCTCAGAGCATTCGGTTTTTCAGTTAAATTGTAAAATGTTATTACTTTTTCTTTAACCTGAAGTCTATGCTCAAAAACATACACATGTATATATATATATATATGTATATATATAAATTCATTATATTTTGACATTTTGGATAGGATTTATTTGGTAAATTTTTGAGATTATGTCATGTTTTTAGATTAAGACGAGACAAACGGATACATTTTGATTAACGATTTATCATGCTCACTTTATACAATTTTATTTTTTTTTAATATCTGGATATCTAGGGTAAAAAACCAAGACGGATTCAGGAACTACAAGTAAAGTTGTATGTTATTTTATAATATTTAAATAACATTTAATATGCAAAATTTTGAAGTTACGTCAACAAGTTGTTGGTAGGGATGATTAGGACAAATTTTAGTTGGCGTTTTACCATCTACACGATATTCCTAAAGTGCTTATAAAATTTGGAATCGGAACAATCGGTAGTTTTGGAGATTGTCTAATGAAAATCAACAGACAGACGGAAACGGGGACCTATTTTTTCATACTCTGAAACATGAAAGTTGTCATTCGCCGAGTCTACCCTATTACAATATTTCCTTAGCTTACTCTAGGGAGGTAAAAAAGGATTTTATTATCTTGTCAATCTATAAATTAGAGCAAGATCGGGAGTGTTTCATTGAACTTATAAACTGATGTGTATTCTTACGAAAAATATCAAATAAAGAGGAAGAGGATTTCTATCTAAATAACTTTTTACTTCCTGAGCATAAGCTGAGGATTGTAGTAGAATTCATCGGACGAATGACTACTTTCACGTTGTTCGACGTTTCATGATTGCTAGAGTACGAAAACAGATCTCTCATTGTTGTTTGTCTGTTAGTTTGTCTGTTTGACTGTCTATTCTCCGTCTATGTCGATTTTATTAGACAGATAAATCCGAAACGACAAACAGATGGAAATAGGAAATCTATGTTCTCGTATTCTACATGATCATGAGACGGTGAGAAATCATGATTACGTCACTTCCAAATTATACATATAACATGACTAAATTTTATAAAGTCACAGATTCCTACACGTGTAGTATATGTATCCGCCTTGATTTTTTTACCCTAGACATCCAGATTTTTAGAAAAACAAAATTATATAACAATATTTTATATTTTAACTTTGAAACTGAACAAACAAATGCCCCGAAATTAGGCAAACGTTTTAAGGTTATCGTCAGCATGGTAAATTGTTAATCAAAATTAATCCGTTTATACCCTTTCAAAATAGATGACGTCATCCCAAAATTTTGCCGAATAAATCCTATCGAAACTGTGCAATATACTATGAGTTTATACTTGTGGTTTAACAATGCATTTATATTTTAGAATTGTTTGTACAGGGTGCAAAACAACTTAATGAATGAGGGTAAGACGAGTCGTCACGTTTTTTGCTTACGGATTGTCAATACATTTTCAGAATGTAATATCTCTCGTTATTAACACACTTATTTTTATGAAATTTTAAACATAGCATGTCAACACCTTCCACTATATCACTTGGGGGTAGTTTTGTAAAATGAGTTTATCATTTTTTTTGTTTTGGTAAAAAATTTTATCGCATATTTCTAAAACTCGAAATTTATATTATTTATGAAAGTTTTTGAACCTGGTTTTCACCACTATTTTTAGCTTACAAAACTCTAAAAATCTTATCAACATCGCCGAATTTTTTTGTCGTAAAAAAGAGTTTATCACAATTAAACACATTTATTGTTATGAAATTTTAAACATGTCATCACCTTCCACTATCTCACTCGGGAGTAGTTTTGTAAAAAGGAGTTTATCATCATTTTTTTTTTCAGTTTTGGTAAAAAAAAATTATCGCTTATTTTAAAATTCGAAATCTTTATTATTTAGGAAAATTTTAGAACACGGCTTTCACCACTATTTTTAACTTACAAAACTAGAAATCCTATTAGCAACATTGTCGATTTTTTTTGTCGGAAATGAGATACAGTAAAAAGAAGTTTCATGTCAACACCTTCCATTATATAACGCGGAAGTAGTTTTGTAAAAAAGAGCATCATTTTTTAAAATTTTTGGTAACATTTTTTCATCACGTATTTTTAAAATTCCAAATCTCTATTATGTATGAAAATTTTTGGACCCAGTTTTCAACACTGTTTTCAGCTTAAAAACTCTAGAAATCCTATAAACAACATTGTCGCCTTTTTTGTCGGTAAGGAGACACAGTAAAAACAGTTTATGTCAGAGAAGCTTTTTTTTACTGTATCTCATTTTCGACAAAATAATAGGATTAGATATTACACTCTGAAGATGTATTGATAATCCGTAAGCAAAAAACGTGAGGACTCTTAAATCAAGAACGGCTTACTCCATTTTCCAGAAAATTTGGCAATATAATACTGTTATTATTAGTGTTACACTGCACCTATCCAAATTTATATACGTGTCATTGTTAAAATGTTGATGACGACATCACAAAATTTTGTAATAGAAAAACTCACTTGAAAAATAACGCATAGGATATTTCTTGACATTTACTTTAACACTACACACGTATCTTTATTTTCATTTATAGTTGTTCAAAAAAACTGAATATGTTACACTGAGGCGTGAGAAATTCTGTCTAAATAACTTAGACCAATTTTTTATCAACTAAAAATGAAATAAACCTCTAACGACATATTAAAATCGGTTAAAATATTTACGTTAATTGCATAATAATATTTTACAATTTGACAACAGTCAGACCGGTAGTTTCGGAAATTATCTGTGCAATCAAAATCGACACAGACGGCGGACAGATAGGCAGACAGAAACGGGCGACCTATTTTTTCGTACTTTAGGGGTCATGAAATGAACATGAAAATAGCCACTCGTCAAATGGATCTCTCTTTTAAAATATTTACGTTGCGATTGAAAAAATGTAATTTTGCGCCGCGATGCCGACGTCATATTTGCGGTGTACTAAATTTATCTTTCCCCTTTAAGTTAAAAACAATGGCGTTTACGGAATTTTAAATATCTTTATCCGTTATCAAACTGGGACATCCTGTATAGGACTTATCTTCATAAAAAAATGTATGTTGACTCATAACATTAATGTATATAGAGATACAAAAATGTATAAAAAGTACTTACTATGTACATCTGCCGACGATCCTGAGGATGACGTACTGCTCTTGAATTCCATTTGGAAACTTTCAGAGACGGATATTGTTGCACCACGAAGTGGGAAATATTTGTCCTTCCGAACTCGATTTCCGCACTGAAGACCTAATTCTGTCTACGAAAAAAAAAATAAGAATCACTACATAGCTTCTTCACTTGTAAATTTCATAAAAGAATGGAATCATCTTAAAATTTACTTACCAAACGTAGAATACAAACCAACGTTAATAAGTTACCCTTTGGTAACTGATGATTGTACACATTTTTCTTTTGGGTAAATGGTTTAAACCGTAGTTGCACCCCACAACACTTTCCTTTAGGCACACATCACTAAAGCTTAAAAGCGCAGGTAAAAGACACAACAACAGCTTTGGAACAGCTACGATCATGACATAATACAATCTGCTTCCTCTCCCGCCGCCGCCGCCGCCGCCTATAGTCAGCAATAACACAGAATGCCAGGAAAAAAAACAATAAGTGATGTCAGCAACGGCAAGGTTGTTATTCTGTAATGGTTTAAAGTCACGACGATATCAAGGAAAGAAATTCTTCAGAATCGTTGAACCAACAGATTATAAAAAATGTTATTTTTTCCTAAAAACTAGTTAATGAAAATGAATTCTAGGAGATATTTTGATCAAAATAGGCGGAAGCATATTTTTGGTTTTTAGGATAAAATGACCAAAGATTTTTACTTCCCGGAAGTAAGCTAAGAAGGTACATATTGAAATCGGGTCCATCTGACGAATGGCTATTTTCATGTCTACTCGAAGTTTCATGACCCCTAAAGTACGAAAAAATAGGTCGCCCGTTTCTGTTTACCAGTCTGTCCGCCGTCTGTGTCGATTTTGATTGCACAGATGATTTCCGAAACTACCGATCTGACTGTTGTCAAATTGTAGAAATGCTAAAGCGCTAACCAAAATTTGTCTAATCATCCCCAGTAATAATGTAATTACGTCCTCAAAGTTGTACATGGTAAATGTTATTTAAATTTTATAAAATATTATATTCCTGCACATATAGTTTATGAATCCATCTTGATTTTGAGCCCTAAGGGTGCAAATTTTTTTAATTGTGTAATAATATTTTACAATTTTACTTTGAAATGCAAAATAGAATTCTTTGAATTTTTGCAAACGTTTTAAGGTTATATTTATATAAGATAGTAAGCATGGTAAATCGTTAATCAAAATTTATGCGTTTATCCCGCCCCCAAAACGATGACGTCATCTTACAATTGTATCGAAAAAATGTTACAAAATTATTATTTTTTATGATAGCCTCTATAAGTAAAAATAAAGTACATAGAAG